GCCTGCTTGCAGGTGCTTTAATCCACTGAGCTATTTGGCTGGTCCTGTGCTCTTTTTATCTTCTGCTAACCTTTTACTTTTTTTTTTTTTTTCCTGCATCCTTAGCTTTTAGATGTAAAACAAATCTATATGGCTGGGGAGATAGCTAGGTAGAATAAGTGATTGCCTGGCAAGCACAAGGTCATGAGTTCTATCCCTGTACTGCAAAATAAATAAATAAAAATTTTAAAAAATCTACATTGTAAATATGTAACTAGATTTTTTTACTTTTTTTTTTTTTTTTTTTTTTTTGGTGGAACCGGGGATTGAACTTAGGCCTTTGCACTTGCCAGGGAAGCACTTATTCCACCGAGCCATCTCCCCAGCCCCCCTCATTTTTTTTTTTTGTTTGAAATTTTTTTCTTTATGCACTTACATCTATTGTAACTAAGATATTTTTTTTTAAACATTTATTTATTTATTTATTTATTTATTGTGTGTGTGTGTGTGTGTGTGGCCAGCTCAGCCCACCAGGGGGCGGGGCTGGCTGGCATGTGGTGCTGGGGGATTGAACCGCGGTCCCTGATGCTTTGTCAAGCTTGTTCCAAGTAGGTGCTTTAGACCACTGAGCCATCTCTCCAGCCCCTGTAACTAAGATATTTGTAAATTTAAACTTAACATTTTTCCTAGGCTTTTTGTCCTACCTGTTCTTTTTTTTTTCCTGCCTCAGGTTTATTTGTACAAAGAGCACAGGAAGACACCAGCCCCCCAGAGATGGCACTCCAGTCCTTCTATTTTTACATCAGCAGTAAGAGACTTTTACTGTGGAGCCTTCACGGGGGCCTGAGCACCTTTGGGAGCCTGTGCTGGAGCAGAAGCTGGAGCCTGGGCCTGGGCTGAAAGCAAGCCCTGCGACCCTTGGCAATGCGGGCACGGATACGCTTCCCAAGCTTGGGGTGGGCAATATAGGCAAGTGGAGTGAGCCTGCAGTTTACTCCCTTTGGGATGATCTTGGGCTTGACCTCCTTGGGCTTGACGAGGGCCTTGATTAGCCTTGGTGTGTGCACTCATGGCCTTGGCATTGTTTGCTTGCATCTTCTTGAAGCCCTTCTTGCTGTGCTTCTTGGCAAAACACATGTTCCTAAGGAACTTGGGATCCACTCCCTTCAGAGATTCGTATCTTTGTGACCGAGGTTTCTTGATGCCATTTCTGTGCCATTTTTGGGACTGGTTGTGTGTGGTGTGGTTCTTGGACTTGGCCATAACTGTACTGTAAACCTGTTCTTAATCTCTTCCTAGGAAATGGAGAGACATAGTTCTTTGGGTCTCTACATTAGTCCTAACCCACAAATACAGAAAACGTGAAACACAAAAGTTAAAAGTTATGGGGCCGGGGAGATGGCTCAGTGGAATAAGCACTTCCCTGGCAAGTACAAAGGCCTAAGTTCAATCCCCAGTTCCAAAAAAAAAAAAAAAAAAAAAAGTTATTAGAAATCCTCTTAGTGAAAGTGAGGCTTTGTGTTCTATTTATCTTGTAGGGATTTTGGCCTCTGAGCAATCTGTACTTTCTACTTAAGTTACTGATGAATTCTGGCCAATAATTCAGAGGACATTCATTTTGCCTGTTAGAAGAAATCATCATCAAACATTGATGGTTTTTAGCACTTGTATATTTGTTAAATATCAACCTGCGCTCATACAGGTTGATAATTAAGTCACAATTTATTAATTTTATTTTTTAAACTTATGAATTTTATTTATTTAAGTTTATTTTGCAGAATAACAGAAGCAAAAACAAATAGAAAAATAGACAGAAACAGGGTAATATACAATATGCACATTACAGATTTTCCAAATGGGAATAGCTATTTTATAATACACAAATGCTAAAATTTACATACAGAATATAGTCAAGTTATAGTTTATACAATTTACTAATATAGTACTTTATTTACATAATATTTATTTTGGCTCTAAAGTTTTTAATTTTGATCCTGTTGCCAATTATTATTTGATTTCCTGTGTATTTATAAGAACATCTGACAGGCACAGTGAGGCACAACTGTAATCCCAGCAATCAGGAGGCTGAGGCCATAGGACTGTGGCAGTTCAAGGCCAGCCTAAGATACATGTGTGCTCAAGGCCAGTGAGACCCTCTCTGAAAAAGACCAAAAAAGAAAAAAAGATACTCATTGTCTGGATGGCTTTCATCACTAGTGAATTTTATAATGTATTAAAGAAATATTTTATGCAATGTTTTTCATGTTTATAGTATATACTCCGTCACAGCTTACATTCTGTTTACCAGGCCAGTAAAAAGGAAATTTTCAGTTGCTCTTCTGTGGACCTTCAAAGTCATGACTTCATTTTTTAAAAATTTTCTTTTTGTTTTCACAATCAATATTATGACTTTCTTTTCAGATTTATGAATCTTTATCAACATAATTATCATAAACATCGATTAACAGACTAACAGGCCAAAAACCCATAAAAGATGCGTAAAACGATTATACTAAATGGAGGTACACTTTTAGATACACTGCTCATGCTGGACTACACTTTGACATTGTCTTTTTTCCCTGTTGTCTGTCTTTCATTTTGCACTTCACTTACATATTTGGCTTCTACTATAAGAGAAACCATGGGGGCTGGAGATGGCTCAGTGGTCTAAAGCACCTCTTGGAACAAGCTTGGCAAAGCACAGGAACCACGGTTCAATCCCCAGCACCACATGCCAGCCAGCCCCGCCCCCAGGTGGGCT